GCTGCATGGGCTTGCAGTTGAGCGACTGGTAGAGCGGCTTGCCCACGTTCAGGCTCTGCGGCGGGTGGTGGGCGAGGCGGCGGGCGATGGGCGGGATGGAGTGTGCATCGGCAGCCTGCGGAGGGCTGGAGGAGGCGGGAGGCGTGCCGGCGGATGCGCCCGGCTGGGACAGCGAGGAAGAGGATGGCAGTGACGAAGAGGCTTTGACGGCCTCCAGACCGCGGCGCAGAGCGGCGGGAGAAACGGCACCCGGAGGATGCGTGGGGAGGGTGACGAGCCATTGAGCAGCGGCGGGCTGTCGGGGCCTCGCGAGGGTGACGAGCTGCCGTCTCGTGCTCGGGCCGATGCTCTCGGACGCAGGGTCCCCCAGCGGCCGTTCACACAGGGCGCCTCCTCGACCGCGCCCAGCACTACGCCTGCCGCGCCGCCGCGCACCGGAGACTGCGAGCGCAGAGAGGGTGGGTCCGGCCCCAGAGGGGCGGGCGTTGAGCTGATGGGGGAGGGACGAGAGTTCAGACTCGGGCTGAGAGGAGCTCGCCCCGACGGTGCCTGAGAGAAAACCACCACACACTGACCCACCTGAGAGAGAGAGAGAGAGAGAGAGAGACTGGTCAACATACATCGTGATGTAACCAATGTAGCGACAAATCTCTGAGTTTACATCTCGCCATTCTGATTTTTGTAAATTCTGACTTTACATCTCACAAGTCTAACTTTTTCATAATTATGACTTTACAAATTGCAATTATGACCTTTTTGTAATTCTGACTTTATATCTGACAACTCTGACTTTTTTTTTTCTGCAATTATAACTTTTTTCGTAATTCTGACTTCACATCTCATAATTGACTTTTTTGTAATTATAATTTCACGTCTTGCAAATATGACTCCTTTCAAATCCAGACTGTGAATCTAAATTGTGACATACATCTGAGTGAAACAGATTACCAAAATAAATAAATAAAATAAATAAATTGGGGACTGATTTCTGTTCATCTGTTTTTTTGCCGTTTTTTCTCACACACCTGTTTTTTGTTTTTGTCTGGAATAAAAAAAAAAGGTCATAACTTTTTATCTCACAATTCAGACAATTTTTCTCGCAAGTTTAGTCAGAATTACGAGATCTAAATTCAGAATTCTGACTTTAATCACAACTATAAAAAGTAAATATGTTTTTATCTCAGCTCTCTAACTCAGGAAGTGAATGTTTGAAGGCTCACCTTGCAGGCCGGATGGCACCAGAGCTCCGGCGCGCCGTGATCCTCGTTCTCCACACGCAGCTGCTGCCACGTCCAGGGGGAGGCGCTCATGTGCAGCAGCCACGCATCCTTCAGCAGCTGCACACACAGACGGTCACTGCAGCGTATCTCCACACACGCATACTCACACACACTCACACACACGCACTCACACACGCACACTCACACACACTCACACACGCACACTCACGCACACTCACGCACACGCGTACACACACGCTCAGCAGATACTCACAGCATTCGGCCCGCCGCAGCCGCCCAGAATCAGCAGCGTCTCACTGTCGATCACGATCTGAGGAACACAAGGCGACACATTGAGCGGCTCAGACTCAGAGCATCATGGGAGTCAGTGAGAGACTGAGGAGGCAGTGTTACCTGAGACTGTCCCCCGCGAGGGTGAGGACACGGGCCACTGACGGCCGGTAAAAAAAAACTAAGAAATCCAGAAACATAAAACATTTCATAGAGCCTTATTATTGTTAAAATTTTGAAATTGTTAAAGTTTTATGAATTCATTTGATTACTATATTTTAATGCTACATTTGTATTCAATAATAAAACAGAATGCAGAAAAATAATTTTTATTAACAATGAAATAAAATTTCTCAGGGCTCTATTACTGTTAAAAAATTTAATAAATTACTAAATAGTTAAATTTGTATTACTTCAATTGATTAGATAGGTTTTTGATGATTCAAATTTACAAAGTATTAAAACTGAATCCAGAAAAATAAAACATTTCATAGGACACTATTATTAAATAACTACTATAAACAAAAATACATTTTTTACTATAAATTACGGTTGCAAAAAGGTGGAAAATTTCCAGGATTTTTTTTTTTATATTCCAGGGATTTTTGGAAAGTTTCCAGAAATTTACCGGAAATTTTTCACCCCATTGCAACCCTACTACAAATTATTAAATTGTTAAAGTTTTAATTAATTTGATTACTACATTAAGATACAAAATTTATTAAATCTTAAAACAGAATACATTAAAATCAAGCACATTTCATATGGCCATATTATTGCTAAAATTGTAATTATTTAATTGTTAAAATCTTAGAAATTAGACAAACTTTTTGATGATCAAAATTTAGCATTAAAACAAAATCACAAAGAATTAAAATGAGAAAGAATTTCGAGGTGAAAGTCTACTGTAATTTGGGGAACAAATGAAAGGTGATTTGTGACTAAACAATGTTTATTCTGGTGAAGATGTGAGCGCCTCTCACCAGTTCTTGGAGGGTGAGTAGGTGTGTATCTCGTCGAAGAAGCGCTCGGGCTGGTGGAGCGGGTACGGACTGGGACGAGTCCAGCCGCCGAACAGCACCAGCAGATCCCTGTACATCACCAGCGTGGCTCCCGCTTTAGGAGACGGATACGAGCCTGAACACAACACAACAGGAGAGGAGAGCTGACGCCACGCCGCACACACACACACACACACACACACACACACACACACACACACACACACACACACAC